TGCTCTAGCTCCGGCGTGAAGCAGCTGACCCGTGCTGAACCAGGCACCAGTGGAACAGGCACGGGCTGTGCCGGACTGACGACGCCCACCACTGGCTTGGTGTGGGGAGCAGGAGCGGGCCGAACCGGGCTGACGAAACGCACCACTGCCTTGGTGCGGGGAGCAGGAACGGGCCGAGCCGGGCTGACGAAGCGCACCACTGACTTGGTGCGGGGAGCAGGAACGGGCCGAGCCGGGCTGACGAAGCGCACCACTGACTTGGTGCGGGGAGCAGGAACGGGCCGAGCCAGGCTGACGAAGCGCACCACTGACTTGGTGCGGGGAGCAGGAACGGGCCGAGCCGGGCTGACGAAGCGCACCACTGACTTGGTGCGGGGAGCAGGAACAGGCCGGACCGTACTGGGGACACACACCACTGGTCCTACGCAGGGATCTGGAATGGACCGGACTGGTAACACACCCCAGTACCTCTCGCCGTGCCTCTACACCTTCCATCCCCTCTTCGACCAGTGGCCCCCGTAACCTGGCGGCCTCCTCTGCCAACGCGCTGGGCCGCTCTGCCGCGGTCTCCTGCTGGCCCGTCGTCCACGGCGTTAGCCCCCCCCTAAAAATTTTCTGGGCGTCTCTCCTACCCGTGGACCAGGTCTCCATGTCCCTCGCCAGCCTTTCACCCTTCTGCTTCCATGTCAAGCCCTTCTCTTCCTCACCCGGCTTGACCCAGTCGAGGAGGCGAAGGAGATCTGCTAGAGATCTCCCTGGCGATGGCTCCTGGACACGCTGCTTGGTCCAGTCTTGGTGGTTTCTTCTGTCACGCTCGTCGGGAACAGAGGAGGACCAAGGCGCAGCGTTGAATGCGAACATATTTATTTATATAATGATCACACGATCAAAACAACAAAACGATGACGTGACAGTCAATGGTCAAACACAAACCAACACGAACAAGAAACCACAATGAATGAATGCCTAACGGCTACCTAAGTATGACTCCCAATCAGAGACAACGAGCTACAGCCGTCTCTGATTGGGAGCCACCCTGGCCAACATAGATATACAACAACTAGAACCAACACACATGAAAACTCACACCCTGGCTCAACATACTAGAGTCCCCAGAGCCAGGGTGTGACAAAGGTCCAATGCAGCCGTTTTAAAGTCAACATCATATTATTTCTGGGTAACAATTAAATACCTTACTGTGATCATTTTCAATTAAAATTGTAAAAAAATAAATAAACAAATATAGCTTTTTAGCGAAGAGCAATTTCTCAAGCAATAATTTAGCTAAGACTGTCTGGGAGTGGTCTGACTGGGGAGGGGGAAAATGAAAACTAGCTGTTAGTGGCAGAGAGAATTGGAACTCTTTCTTATTCGTCTATTAACTACACTGAACAAAAATATATATGCAACATGCAACAATTTCTAATATTTTACTGAGTTACAGTTCATATAAGGAAATCAGTCAATTGAAATAACTTCATTAGGCCCTAATCTATGGGTTTCACATGACTGGGAATCCAGATATGCATCTGTTGGTCACAGTACCTTAAAAAAATAGGTAGGGGCGTAGATCAGAAAACCAGTCAGTATCTGGTGTAACCACCATTTGCCTTATGCATCGGGGGCAGGTAGCCTAGCAGTTAAGAGCGTTGGGCCAGTAACCGAAAGGTTGCTGGTTCTAATCCCAGATCTGTTGATGTGCCCTTGAGCCCTTAACCCTAATTTCTCTTGTAAATCGCTCTGGAGCGTTTGCTAAATGACTAAAATGTAAATGTAAAATGCAGCGCGACACATCTCCTTCGCATAGAGTTGATCAGGCTGTTGATTGTGGCCTGTGGAATGTTGTCCCACTCCTCTCCAATGGCTGTGCGAAGTTGCTGGATGTTAGCGGGATCTGGACTACGCTGTTGTACACGTCGATCCAGAGTATCCCAAACATGCTCAATGGGTGACACGTCTGGTGAGTATGCAGGCCATGGAAGAACTGGAACATTTTCAGCTTCCAGGAATTGTGTACAGATCCTTGCGACATGGAGCCGTACATTATCATGCTGAAACATGAGGTGATGGCGGCAGATCTTTGTGCATTCAAATTGCCATTGATAAAATGCAATTGTGTTTGTTGTGTGTAGCTTGTGCCTGCCCATAGTATAACCCCACCGCCATCATGGGGCACTCAGTTTCACAACGTTGACATCAGCAAACCTCTCGCCCACACGACGTCATACACGTCTGCCATCTGCCCGGTACAGTTGAAACCAGGATTAATCCGTGAAGAGCACACTTCTCCAGCATGCCAGTGGCCATCAGAGGTGAGCCTTTGCTCACTGAAATCGGTTACGACACCGAACTGCAGTGAGGTCAAGACCCTGGTGAGGACGACGAGCACGCAGATGAGCTTCCCTAAGATTGTTTCTGACAGTTTGTGCAGAAATTCTTTGGTAGTGAAAACCAACAGTTTGGTCTCAGACGATCCCACAGGTGAAGAAGCCGGATATGGAGGTCCTGGGCTGGTGTGGTTACCTGTGGTCTGTGGTTGTGAGGCCGTTTGGACGTACTGCCAAATTCTCTAAAACGACGTTGGAGGCATTGTGTGAGAGAACTCACATTTTAGAGTGGCCTTTTATTGTCCCCAGCACAAGGTGCGCCTGTGTAATGATCATGCTATTTAATCAGCTTCTTGATATGCCACACCTGTCAGGTGGATGGATTATCTTGGCAAACGAAAAATGCTCACGAACAGATAGGTAAACAAATTTGTGCACAACATTTTAGAGAAATAAGCTTTTTGTGTGTATGAAACATTTCTTGGATCTTTTATTTTAGCTCATAAAACATGGGACCAACACTTTACATTCATGCGTCCATATTTTTGTTCAGTATAATTTAGGCAGGCCAAAACTCCAACCCACCAAAACAGGTTGAAATTTCAGGCTCTTACACTAAAAGGGCATTATCATAATTTTCAAAATTTCACATTATTATTACAACCTCAGAGACGGGTTAGCTAACAACATCACGAAAACAATGCGTGCACTTCAATAAGGCAGAACGCTGTGTGCTTTTGTGATTCTGGATGGCCAGATAGCTAGCAACAATGACAAGAAGCTGCCGTGTGGGGAATTGTAGGTGGCTCGTTTCAGCTAGTTTTATCTTGTTCTTGTTTTGACCGATGTCACGTCTTTGCTAATATGGCTATAATTCACTAGCTAGCTAACCAACAACTGTAACAATGTATTTGAGAGACAAGTGCTCATTGTGCAAATGTATTTTCAATAAACATTGGAGACTAAATATATTTTATATGTTACCAACAATCTAAGCCAAACCCATCTGTTTTTCCCCACAGTTGTGCACGCATCGGTTTTGTAGCTAAACAACCAACCCGTCTATAGTGTGGAAATATACAGTACCAGTCAAAAGTTTGGACACACCTACTCATTCAAGGGATTTTCTTTATTTTTACTGTTTTCTACATTGTAGAATAATAGTGACTATATCAAAACTATGAAATAACACATATGGAATCATGTAGTAACCAAAAGAGTGTTAAACAAATCAAAATATATTTTATGTTTGAGATTCTTCAAAGTAGCCACCCTTTGCCTTGAGGACAGCTTTGCACACTCTTGGCATTCTCTCAACCAGCTTCATGAGGAATGCTTTTCCAACAGTTCAAGGAGTTCCCACATATGCTAGGCACTTGTTGGCTGCTTTTCCTTCACTCTGCGGTCCAACCCATCCGAAACCATCTCAATTGGGTTGAGGTCGGGGGATTGTGGAGGCCAGGTCATCTGATGCAGCACTCCATCACTCTCCTTGGTCAAATAGCCCTTACACAGCCTGGAGGTGTGTTGGGTCATAGTCCTGTTGTAAAACAAATGAGAGTCCCACTAAGCCCAAACCAGATGGGATGACGTATCGCTGCAGAATGCTGTGGTAGCCATGCTGGTTAAGTGTGCCTTGAATTCTAAATAATTCACTGACAGTGTCACCAGCAAAGCACCCCCACACCATCACACCTCCTCCTCCATGCTTCATGGTGGGTACCACACATGCAGAGATCATCCGTTCACCTACTCTGCGTCTCACAAAGACACAGCAGTTGGAACCAAAAATCTCAAATTTGGACTCTTTAGACCAAAGGACATATTTCCACCGATCTAATGTCCATTGCTCTTGTTTCTTGGCCCAAGCAAGTCTCTTCTTATTATTGGTGTCCTTTAGTAGTGGTTTCTTTGCAGCAATTCGACCATGAAGGCCTGATTCACACAGTCTCCTCTGAACAGTTGATGTTGAGATGTGTCTGTTACTTGAACTCTGTGAAGCATTTATTTGGGCTGCAATCCGAGGTGCAGTGAACTCTAATGAACTTATCCTCTGCAGCATAGGTAACTCTGGCTCTTCCTTTCCTGTGGTGGTCCTCATGAGAGCCAGTTTCATCATAGCGGTTGATGTTTTTTGCGACTACACTTGAAGAAACTTTCAAAGTTCTTGACATTTTCCGGATTGACTGACCTTCATGTCTTAAAGTATTGATGAACTGTCATTTCTCTTTGCTTATTTGAGCTGTTCTTGCCATAATATGGACTTGTTATTTTACCAAATAGGGTTGTTTTCTATAAACCACCACTACCTTGTCACAACACAACTGATTGGCTCAAACGCATTAAGAAGGAAAGAAATTCCACAAATTAACTTTTAAGATAGCACACCTATTAATTGAAATGCATTCCAGGTGACTACCTCATGAAGCTGGTTGAGAATGCCACTTTTTTGGTTACTACATGATTCCATATGTGTTATTTCATAGTTTTGATGTCTTTACTATTATTCTACAATGTATTGTAATGTAAAATTAAGAAAAATCCTTGAATGAGTAGGTGGGTCCAAACTTTTGACTGGTACTGTATATAACACACAGGAAACTCTGTTCTATGTCCTTCCCATGCAGGTTGTATGAAGGTGCAGCAGACAAGGGGCTGGTAGGAGCAGAGCTGATGCTCCAGCGACAGGAGGAGGAGGTTCAAAGGATCCAGGCTTACCTGGATAACAGGCTGTCCCAAGCCTCCCTCTACCCAGGGGATGACCGCCGTACCTCAGGCCTCTATCCCGGAGATGAGCCCCTGGCCCTGGCACACAACTCCATGCTGGACCTCCGAGACCCTCTTAATGCCACACTACCACACCACTGCAACCCTAGGGTATGTACTACTCACGCCAGCTACCACACACACTACCACACCAACGCAGACCTAAGGTAGATTGTGCTAACATATCCACTCCTACACTCACTACCACACCGCAAATCTACTGTAGCCTCCCTACCTCTCAGGTTTAGAGCTAGATCAAAGCTGTATCTTTGAATTGTGTCTTTGTGAAACACAGCTGCTGATTCAGATAGAACATATAGGCCTAATATTACAGCACAACATAGTACAGTATGTGTGTGTAATTCAACCTCTTCTTACTCTGTACACTGTTTTTCTTCCCCACTGCAGAATTTCTTTGGTCCTGAATTTGTGAAGATGACGAATGAGCCATGTGTTCCCTTAACTGTTCCTTCTTCAATAATGGTGAGACTCATTACATCAATGTGTTTCACACAGGCTAGTGGAGCAGGCTGATTAGAGACAGTGGTTGATGGAGTGAGGGTTATGACAGTGGAATGGAATGGAATGGAAAAGGTCCTTCCTCTCCTCTTCAGATCTGGGTTCAAACCGTATTTGCTTTCGTTTGAATCATTTACAGTGGGGAGAAGAAGTATTTGATACACTGCCGATTTTGCAGGTTTTCCTACTTACAAAGCATGTAGTGGTCTGTCATTTTTATCATAGGTACACTTCAACTGTGAGAGACGGAATCTAAAACAAAAATCCAGAAAATCACATTGTATGATTTTTAAGTAATAATTTGAATTTTATTGCATAACATAAGTATTTGATACATCAGAAAAGCAGAACTTAATATTTGGTACAGAAACCTTTGTTTGCAATTACAGAGATCACACGTTTCCTGTAGGTCTTGACCAGGTTTGCACACACTGCAGCAGGGATTTTGGCCCACTCCTCCATACAGACCTTCTCCAGATCCTTCAGGTTTCGGGGCTGTCACTGGGCAATACGGACTTTCAGCTCCCTCCAAAGATTTTCTATTGGGTTCAGGTCTGGAGACTGGCTAGGCCACTCCAGGACCTTGATATGCTTCTTACGGAGCCACTCCTTAGTTGCCCTGGCTGTGTGTTTTGGGTCGTTGTCATGCTGGAAGACCCAGCCACGACCCATCTTACTGAGGGAAGGAGGTTGTTGGCCAAGATCTCGCGATACATGGCCCCATCCCCTCAATACGGTGCAGTCATCCTGTCCCCTTTGCAGAAAAGCATCCCCAAAGAATGATGTTTCCACCTCCATGCTTCACGGTTGGGATGGTGTTCTTGGGGTTGTACTCATCCTTCTTCTTCCTCCAAACACGGCGAGTGGAGTTTAGACCAAAAAAAACTTTATTTTTGTCTCATCAGACCACATGACCTTCTCCCATTCCTCCTCTGGATCATCCAGATGGTCATTGGCAAACTTCAGATGGGCCTGGACATGCGCTGGCTTGAGTAGGGGGACCTTGCGTGCGCTGCTGGATTTTAATCCATGACGGCGTAGTGTGTTACTAATGGTTTTCTTTGAGACTGTGGTCCCAGCTCTCTTCAGGTCATTGACCAGGTCCTGCCTTGTAGTTCTGGGCTGATACCTCACCTTCCACATGATCATTAATGCCCCACGAGGTGAGATCATGCATGGAGCCCCAGACCAAGGGTGATTGACCGTCATCTTGAACTTCTTCCATTTTCTAATAATTGCACCAACAGTTGTTGCCTTCTCTCCAAGCTGCTTGCTTATTGTCCTGTAGCCCATCCCAGCCTTGTGCAGGTCTACAATTTTATCCCTGATGTCCTTACACAGCTCTCTGGTCTTGGCCATTGTGGAGAGGTTGGAGTCTGTTTGATTGAGTGTGTGGACAGGTGTCTTTTATACAGGTAATGAGTTCAAACAGGTGCAGTTAATACAGGTAATGAGTGGAGAACAGGAGGGCTTCTTAAAGAAAAACTATCAGGTCTGTGAGAGCCGGAATTCTTACTGGTTGGTAAGTGATCAAATACTTATGTCATGCAATAAAATGCAAATTAATTACTTATAAATCATACAATGTGATTTTCTGGATTTTTGTTTTAGATTCCGTCTCTCACAGTTGAAGTGTACCTATGATAAAAATTACAGACCTCTACATGCTTTGTAAGTAGGAAAACCTGCAAAATTGGCAGTGTATCAAATACTTGTTCTCCCCACTGTAACTGTTCTTGATTGAGCCTACCTGGCCACAGTGGAACCAATGAAATAGTTCCAAAAGTGCAAACCCTAACCCTGCCCACCTGGCAACTCCAAGCATGCTCAATCAAACTCTTTCGTATATATATATATATACACACACACACACACACACACACACACACACACACACACACGGTCCACAGTTTTAGATCACCTACTCATTCAAGGGTTTTTCTTTTTACTATTTTCTACATTGTAGATTAATAGTGAAGACATCAAAATTATTCAATAAAACATATGGAATTATGTAGTAACCAAAAAAGTGTTAAACAAATCAAAATATATTTTATATTTGAGATTCTTCAAATAGCCACCCTTTGCCTTGATGACAGCTTTGCACACTCTTGGCATTCTCTCAACGAGCTTCATGAGGTAGTCACCTGGAATGCATTTTAACTAACAGGTGTGCTTTCTTAAAAGTTAATTTGTGGAATTTCTTTCCCTCTTAATGCGTTTGAGCCAATCAGTTGTGTTGTGACAAGGTAGGGGTGGTATACAGAAGATAGCCCTATTTGGTAAAATACCAAGTCCATATTATGGCAAGAACAGCTCAAATAAGCAAAAAGAAATGACAGTCCATCATTACTTTAAGACATGAAGGTCAGTCAAAACGGAAAATGTCAAGAACTTTGAAAGTTTCTTCAAGTGCAGTTGCAAAAACCATCAAGCGCTATGATGAAACTGGCTCTCATGCTCTCAAAGGAAGACCCAGAGTTTCCTCTGCTGCAGAGGATAAATTTATTAGAGTTACCAGCCTCAGAAATTGCAGCCCAAATAAATGCTTCATAGAGTTCAAGTAACAGATACATCTCAACATCAACTGTTCAGAGGAGATTGTGTGAATCAGGCCTTCATGGTCGAATTAATGCAAAGAAACCACTACTAAAGGACACCAATAAGAAGAAGAGACTTGCTTGGGCCAAGAAACATGAGCAATGGACATTAAACCGGTGGAAATGTGTCCTTTGGTCTGGAGTCCAAATTGGAGATTTTTGGTTCCAACCACCGTGGCTTTGTGAGATGCGGTGTGGGTGAATGGATGATCTCCGCATGTGTATTTCCCACCATAAAGCATGGAGGAGGACTACCTTGTTATGGTGTTGAGGTGCTTTGCTGGTGACACTGTCTGTCATTTAATTCGAATTCAAGGCACACTTAACCAGCATGGCTACCACAGCATTCTGCAGCGATACGCCATCCCATCTGGTTTGGGCTTAGTGGGAATATAATTTGTTTTTCAATAGGACAATGACTCAACACACACCTCCAGGCTGTGTAAGGGCAATCTGACTAAGGAGAGTGATGGAGTGCTGCATCAGATGACCTGGCCTCCACAATCCCCCCGACCTCAACCCAATTGAGATGGTTTGGGATGAGGCGGACCTCAGAGTGAAGGAAAAGCTGCCAACAAGTGCTCAGCATATGTGGGAACTCCTTCAAGACTGTTGGAAAAGCATTCCAGGTGAAGCTGGTTGAGAGAATGCCAAGAGTGTGCAAAGCTGTCATCAAGGCAAAGGGTCGACTATATGAAGAATTTCAAACATAAAATATATTTTGATTTGTTTAACACTTTTTTGGTTACTACATGATTTCATATGTGTTATTTCATAGTTTTGATGTCTTCACTATTATTCTACAATGTAGAAAAATAGTAAAAATAAAGAAAAACCCTGGCATGAGTAGGTGTGTCCAAACTTTTGATTGGTACTATATATATATATATATATACCCAGATCTGGAGCAGAGAGATCCCAGGTCTGGTGGTCAATATAATGGAACTGACCTCTCCCTTCTTGTTTCTCTACCCCAGAACAAGCATTGGAAGCTGGAGGAGGTCCAGAGGAAGGTGGGGGTGGTTCTGCTGAATGGCCAGAAGCTGGAGCTGAGCTGTGACATCAAGGCTGTGTGTAAGGACGTACTGGACATGGTGGTGGCTCATGTTGGACTAGTGGAGCACCATCTCTTCGGCCTGGCCTGCCTCAAAGGTATGGTATGGGTGAATAAACTTCATCCTGTGTGTGTGCGCGTGTGTGTCTGTCTCTGTCTGCACTCTTCTGCCCTCCTACTGACCCATATAAACCAAAACTTGTTGATTTCCTACTTTTTATTTCCCCTGCTATCTAATTGTCAGGCTGCTTCTGACGTTCTGTAAGTTTATATGTTGTTATTTTCAGTGTGACTGTGTACGTGTGCAAAGAGACACATGGCAGCTCATGCTGATTTGTTCCTATGTTATCTCTCACTCTCCCCCACCTCCCCCTCTACCTCCTCCCTGATTTCTCTCTCACCTTGCCTCCATCTGTGTGTTCCTACAGATATTGAGTTTTTCTTCATTGATCCTGATGCCAAGCTGTCCAAAGTGGCTCCCGAGGGGTGGAAGGACAAACCCAAGAAGAAGAAACCACACATCCAGTTCAATCTGTTCCTACGCATTAAGTTCTTCCTGGATGATGTCCACTTCATACAGTAAGACAGTGGAATCATCTGCCATTCCCTGTCAGAGTCTAGCTTGGGCCCGTATTCATAAAATGTCTCAGAGAAGGAATGCTGATCTAGGATCAGTTTTGCCTTTAAGATCATAATGAATATGTTTATATGGATGCGTTCCAGTTTATATCCTAGATCTGCACTCCTACTCTGAGATACTTTATGAATATGGGCCCTGGTCCCATATCTTTGTGCCAAGCATGACGACAACAACAACAACCAATAGGACTACACAACACAAACAGATCTGGGACCAGGCTAGTCAGAGCCTTTTGATTAAGTGAAACTTGCCCTCAGTTAGACAACAGTCGCCTACTTCAGAATAAAGTGTAAATACTATGTTCCACTCCAGGCACACCATGACGAAACACCAGTACTACTTGCAGCTGAGCAAGGATATCTTGGAGGAGAGGATGCGCTGTGACATGGAGAATGCCATGCTCCTGGCATCCCTCGCATTGCAGGCAGAGTTCGGTGACTACAAAGCAGAGGTATCCCTTCTCTTCAGTATTAATACAAAATAAATGCAATTACTATATTAGTACTACAATTGTATGGTTTCCCTGACCAATATTAAGCCTATTTCTGGACATAAAATCACTTTCAATTGAGACTCTCCATTGGAACGTACCCTTTAGTCCAGGAGTAGGCTTAATCTGGGTCTGGGAAACCAACTCTATAGTCTATGTTAATAGCTAAAATAATGCCATCTCTCCTCATCTGTTTTAGCTCCATGGAAATATGTACTTCAGGCTTGAACATGACCTGTCTGCCTCTGTACTGGATAAGATTGACCAGAGCTCCATCAAGGAAGAACTGCCCAAACTACACAGCACATACTACGGTGCCACCGAGGCAGAAACAGAGTTTGAGTTCCTCAAGGTAAGGGCCTAGACAGGATGCGATGCTGTCATCCATTGCTTTCATAATCACATTGTCACAAACAGATCTGGGATCAGAATAGGGATGCACTGCCTCATAACTCATCACTACTACTCACAACATAAGGGCCAAGATGGCTAGATGACTGATACACTTTATCTAATTACAGATGCTATGACGCTGTAATTTGTATTTGTATTTATTAAGGATCCCCTGGGGTCAAGCAATATTAAGGCTGTTATATACAGTACAATTTAAAATATTACATGACATTACATTTCATAACACTTTTCACAACACATTAAGTGTGTTCCCTCAGGCCACTACTCTAGTACCACATATCTACAATACAAAATCCATGTGTACGTGTGTGTAGAGTGCGTGTCTTATCATGTGTATGTGTAAGCGTGTGGCTGTGCCTGTGTGTGTGTGTCTTCACAGTCCCCAATGTTCCATAAGGTGTATTTTTATCAGTTTAAAAAAAAATCTCATTCTACTGCTTGCATCAGTTACCTGATGTGGAATAGAGTTCCATGTAGCCATGGCTCTATGTAGTACTGTGTGCCTCCCATAGCCTGTTCTGGACTTGGAGATTGTGAAGAGACCTCTGGTGGTAAGTCTTGTGCGGTATGCATAGGTGTTCGAGCTGTGTGCTAGTAGTTTAAACAGACAGCTCGGTGCATTCAACATGTCAATACTTCTTACACAAACAAGTAGTGATGAAGTCAATCTCTCCTCCACTTTGGGCCATGAGAGATTGGCATGACATGCATATTATGAATGTTAGCTATACGTGTACATTTAAGGGCCAGCTGTGCTGCCCTGTTCTGAGCCAATTGTAATTTTCCTAAGTCTCTCTTTGTGGCACCTGACCACACGACTGGACAGTAGTCTAGGTGTGACAAAATTAGGGCCTGTAGGACCTGCCTTGTTGATAGTGTTGTTAAGAAGGTAGAGCAGCACTTTATTATGGACATACCTCTCCCCATCTTAGCTACTGTTGCATCAACATGTTCCGACCATGACAACTTGACCTCAACTTGTTCAATTTCCACATTATTCATTACAAAATTTAGTTGAGGTTTAGGGTTTAGGGAATGATTTGTCCCAAATACAATGCTTTTAGTTTTAGAAATATTTAGGACTATCTTACAGTACCAGTCAAAACATTTTAGTCATTTAGCAGACGCTTACAGGAGCAATTAGGGTTAAGTGCCTTGCATAAGGGCACATCGACAGATTTTTCATCTAGTCGGCTCTGGGATTAGAACCAGCGACCTTTCAGTTACTGGCACAACACTCTTACCCACTAAGCTACCTGCCGCCCCAAAATGTTGGACACACCTACTCATTCAAGGGTTTTTCTTTATTTGTACTATTTTTTTTACATCGTAGAATAATAGTGAAGTTATCAAAAGTATGAACTAACACAAATGGAAATATATAGGAACCAAAGAAGTGTTAAACAAATCAAAATATATTTTATATTTGAGATTCTTCAAATAGCCACCCTTTGCCTTGATGACAGCTTTGCACACTCTTGGCATTCTCTCAACCAGCTTCACCTGGAATGCTTTTCCAAAAGTTTTGAAGGAGTTCCCACATATCGGTCGGGGGATTGTGGAGGCCAGGTCATCTGATGCAACACTCCATTACTCTCCTTCTTAGTAAAATAGCCCTTACACAGCCTGAAGGTGTGTTGGGTCATTGTCCTGTTGAAAAACAAATGATAGTCCCACTAAGCCCAAACCAGATTGGATGGCATACGCTGCAGAATGCTGTGGTAGCCGTGCTGGTTAAGTTTGCCTTGAATTCTAAATAAATCACAGACTGTGCCACCAGCAAAGCACCCCCACACCATAACACCTCCTCCTCCATGCTTTACGGTGGGAACTACACATGCAGAGATCATCCGTTCACCCACAACGCGTCTCACATAGACATGGCGGTTTGAACCAAAAATCTCAAATTTGGACTCCAGACCAAAGGACACATTTCCACCGGTCTAATGTCCATTGCTGGTGTTTATTGGCCCAAGCAAGTCTCTTCTTCTTATTGCTGTCCTTTAGTGGTGTCTGTTACTTGAACTCTGTGAAGCATTTATTTGGGCTGCAATTTCTGAGGCTGGTAACTCTGGGTCTTCCTTTCCTGTGGCGCTCCTCATGAGAACCAGTTTCATCATAGCGCTTGATGGTTTTTGACACTGCACATGAAGAAACTTTCAAAGTTCTTGACATTTTCAGTATTGACTGTTCTTCATGTCTTAAAGTAATGATGGACTGTCATTTCTCTTTGCTTATTTGAGCTGTTCTTGCCATAATATGGACTTGGTTTTTTACTAAATAGGGCTATCTTCTGAATACCCCCTTACCTTGTCACAACACAACTGATCAAATGCATTAAGAAGGAAAGAAAGTGTGCAAAGCTGTCATCAATGCAAAGGGTGGCTATTTCAAGAATCTCAAATATAACATATATTTTGATTTGTTTAACACTTTTTGGTTACTACATGATTCCATATGTGTTATTTTATAGTTTTGATGTCTTCACTATTATTCTACAATGTAAAACATTTTAAAAATAAAGAAAAGCCCTTGAATGAGTAGGTGTCCAAACTTTTGACTGGTAGTGTATTTCTTGCCACTAATTCTGAAACTGACTGTAGCTCTTTGTTAAGCGTTGCAGTGATTTCACTCACTATAGTAGCTGACGTGTATAGTGTTGAGTTATCCGCATACATAGACACACAGGCTTTACTCAGAGCCAGTGGCAGGTCATTGGTACGATTGTTTATTCTCTGAAGGTGAGCCAGAGGCTGACAGAGTACGGAGTTCACTTCCACCGCGTCCTCCCTGAGAAGTGGTCCCAGACAGGCATCATGCTAGGGGTGTACTCCAAGGGTGTGCTCATCTTTGAGGTCCTGAATGGAAACAGAACCCCTGTATTAAGGTTCCCCTGGAGAGAAACCAAGAAGATCTCCTTCACTGTAAGTATTCTGTCTCTCTGAAAATGTGAGGCTTACATTTGGAATCGGGGTTCCCTAGTCCTAGTTGAGTTAATAGCCATATTTTTGGGGGTTGATAAAGTGATTATCTGCTTATATAAAATGATTTGAACTAATGGAAAAGAGCTATATAAATCCATTCAATTAATGAATCTCAACATTTCAAGAGGCTGGTGTATTTATCTCACTGGAATCGTACCCTGCTTTCTCTGCATTGCTTTGCAATATTTCTCTCACTCACTTTTATCCTTTTCTCAAACTCACTTTTATTATCCTTATGTTTTTCTGCAGAAGAAGAAGATCTGCCTTCAGAACACGTCAGATGGGATCAAACACCTGTTCCAGACAGACAGCAACAAGACCTGTCAGTATCTGCTGCACCTCTGCTCTGCTCAGCACAAACTCCACCTCCAGATGAAGGCCCGACAGAACAACCAGGAGCTGCAGGACCTAGGTGAGACGGATAGAGATGGTGAACTAACTACAGCATGTCTATATGAGCTTTGTCACATTTCCTCAATTAAACTTACCTAATCATCTTATTTTTTTATGTGGAACATAAGGCTTCCACAAAAGAGTGGCCCTGCTACCGATTGTCTGCCTTTTTGGAAAGAGAAGATCGACACCAGTGGCAATCTCTAGCCTTATGCTAACAACATAAACAAAAGTAAAACATTGAGTCTCTTTTATGGTTAGATCTATATATTGCCTGTGTGGAGAGACATAGTTGTATCCTTGGTCTGCCAGCAGGGATTAATACAGTTTCTTAATTTGCATTTAACTAAATATCGTTCTTTCCCCTGTTCCACAGAGAATTCTCCACTCATCAGCCTGCAGTATTCTCTGGGCCCTGGTGGGGTGGAGAGGATGGGGAGGGCAGTGAGCTCTGCCAGCCTGGCCCCTAGCTCCTCAGCTCGCTCCGCCTGCTCAGACAGACCACCTGAAGAGGATCTCTTACTCAGACGTAAATAATGTTATAAATCATTTGTATATCACTTATATACAGTGCATTCTGAAAGTATTCAGACCCCTTCCCTTTTTCCACATTTTGTTACGTTACAGCCTTATTCTAAAATGGATTACAATGTTTTTTTCTTCATCAATCTACACACAATACCCCATAATGATTTGGAAAGGCACACACCTGTCTATATAAGGTCCCACAGTTGACAGTGCATGTCAGAGAAAAAAACAAGCCATGAGGTCGACGGAATTGTACGTAGAGCTCCGAGACAGGATTGTGTCGAGGAACAGATCTGGGGAAGGGTACCAAAAAATGTCTACAGCATTGAAGGTCCCCAAGAACACAGTGGCCTCCATCATTCTTAAATGGAAGAAGTTTAGAACCACCAAGACTCATGTCGGAGGAAACCTGGCACCATCCCTATGGTGAAGCATGGTGGTATCAAAACCGGCCGTGACCGGGAGTCCCATTGGGCGGCGCACAATAGGCCCAGCGTTGTCAATGTTAGGGGAGGGTTTGGCCGGGGGCTGCTTTACTTGGCTCATCGCGCTCTAGCAACTCCTTCCGGGTTAAGCGTGCGAGTGTTAAGAAGCAAGGCTTGGAGGGTCATGTTTCGGGGGACGCATGACTCGACCTTCGCCTCTCCCGAGCCCGTTGGGGAGTTGCAGCGATGAGACAAGATTGCAATTGGATATCACAAAATTGGGGAGAAAAAAGCGGTAAAAAAATATATAAGGTGCTTCAACAAAGTACTCAGTAAAGGGTCTGAATACTTATGGAAATTTTTATTTTCAAAAAACTTTTTTTATACATTTGCAAGATTTTCTAAAAACCTGTTTTTGCTTTGTCATTATGAGGTATTGTGTGTAGATTGATGAGGAAAAGTAAGAATTTAATCAATTTTAGAAAAAGGCTGTAACGTAACAAAATGTGGAAAAAGTCAAGGGGTCTGAATACTTTCCGAAGGCACGGTAGTCCCCATTCCTCAGTTCTTTGTTTGTTGTATTTTATGTCCTGTAATATTTTGATTACTAGTTTTAATGATGTAATTATTTGTGAAAAACTATAAATAATACATGTTTATCTTATCTTAGGTGGCCCTGAACAAGGCCCCTGTGAACCACCACCACTCCAATACCCGGCTGATGATGAGCAGATCACACCACAACCTGGGCCAGGTATGGTGCAATTTCTTTTGTCATTCTATTGTGGTCTGTAATGGCAGGGCATGTTTATGGCATATGTTTATGGCTCCTGACTTTGTATTTGTAGTGAGTCTTTGTCTTGAACAGCATGTGTGTGTTTTTCTCTGCTCCTGTTTAATGTGAAATTTCCCTCTGTGATTAATAGTGTTTAAACTGTTGTTAACTGTTGAGGCCCTTTGCCTTACTAAGAGATAAAATGAATTAAGTCAAGATTGTCTATCTATCCATCTATCTTTCCAGGTGCCTGAGTCTCCAGAGCACAGGGCCTTCTCCTCCAACAGCCAGTCCCAGGCTGCTCTGAACCATGCCCGTGCCAGCTCTGACACAGGCTCAATCTCTGTGGTACACCAGCAGGAAACGTGAGTCCAGGCATTCCTCTTTGCACATGTGCTGCTGTCTTTTCCATGCTACTCTTCATTCAAAGCAGCACCTCTGCCTCATTATAGTGGTGGTCAAACACCCAGAGCTTTTGAATAAAGATGGTTGTTATTGCAGCAGACAGTGCTCTGTAGTCCTGACTGAACTCACCTTAGAACAGGGCAGGGCAGGGATTACGTACTTTCAGCACATTCAGCATCTAATTACTGTATAATATCTCTCTGTCTGTAGATCAGTATGGCTGCCAGGGAGAGATGGCGCTGCAGTGGATCGCTGCCATCTTACGGGCTCCTGACCAATTCTGCTAGTTTGTGTGTTTTTTTTACGCTGATCGTAACTCTTTTTGTACATCCTATTTTTGTACATAATATTTTCACCATAATTTCCTATGACCGAAAGCAGCTCCTGGACATTAGAACAGCGATCACTAACCTTGATTTGGATGAAGATTTCTACTTTCTACTTCAACGAGTTGGCAGCTGTGAACGTACTGCTCATTCCGGAACAGGCCCTAATCCCTTAAGTGTGCCTTGAATTCTAAATAAATCACAGAGAGTGTCACCAGCAAAGCACCCCAAACTATCGCACTTCCTCCTCCATGCTTCACGGTGAGAACCACACATGTGGAGATCATCCGTTCACCTACTCTGTTTCACAAAGACACTGTGGTTGGAACCAAAAATCTCAAATTTGGACTCATCAGACCAAAGGACAGATTTCCACTGGTCTAATGTCCACTGCTCGTGTTTCTTGGCCCAAGCAAGTCTCTTCTTCTTATTGGTGTCCTTTAGTAGTGGTTTCTTTGCAGCAATTCGACCATGAAGGCCTGATTCACACAGTCTCCCCTGAACAGTTGATGTTGAGATGTGTCTTTTACTTGAACTATGTGAAGCATTTATTTGGGCTGCAATATCTGAGGCTGGTAACTCTAACTTATCCTCTGCTGCAGATGTAACTCTGGGTCTTCCTGTCCTGTGGCAGTCCTCATGAGAGCCAGTTTCATCATAGCGCTTGATGGTTTTTGCGACTGCACTTGAAGAAACTTTAAAACTTCTTGAAATGTTCCAGATTGACTGACCTTCATGTCTTAAAGTAATGATGGACTGTCGTTTCTCTTTGCTTATTTGAGCTGTTCTTGCCATAATATGGACTTGGTCTTTTACCAAATAGGGCTATATTCTGTATACCAACCCTACCTTGTCACAACACAACTAATTGGCTGAAACACATTAAGAAGGAAATAAATTAAACAAATTAACTTTTAACAAGGCACACCTGTTAATTGAAATGCATTCCAGGTGACTACCCCATGAAGCTGTTTGAGAGAATGCCAAGAGTGTGCAAAGCTGTCATCAAGGAAAAGGGTGGCTACTTTGAAGAATCTCAAATATAAAATATATTTTGATTTGTTTAACACTTTTTTGGTTACTACATGATTCCATATGTGTTATTTCATAGTTTTGATGTCTTCACTATTATTCTACAATGTAGAAAATAATAAAAATAAAGAAAAACCCTTGAATTAGTAGGTGTGTCCAAACTTTTGACTGGTACTGTATATATTTATATATGAAAAATAAAACAGTAATATATCTTGATTAGATAAGTATTCAACCCCCTGAGTCAATACATTTTAGAATCACTTTTGGCAGCGATTATGGCTGTAAGTCTCTAAGAGCTTTCCACACCTGGATTTGCCCATTATTCTTTTCAAAATTATTCAAGCTCTGTCAAATTGGTTGTTGATCATAGCTAGACAACCATTTTCAGGACTTGCCATAGATTTTCAATAAGATTTAAGTCAAAACTGTAACTCGGCCACTCAGGAACATTCACTGTCTTCTTGGTAAGCAACTCCATTGTAGATTTGGCCTTTTGTTTTAGGTTATTGTCCTGCTGAAAGGTGACTTCATCTACCATTGAATGGTGGAAAGCGGAATTAACCAGATTTTGCCTGTTCTTAGCTCCATTCCGTTTCTTTTTTATCCTGAAAAACTCCACAGTCCTTAATAATTACAAGCATACCCATAACATGATGCAGCCACCACTATGCTTGAAAATATGGATAGTGGTAGTCAGTAATGTGTTGTATTCGATTTTCCCCAAACATAACACTTTGTATTCAGGATAAAAAGTTAATTGCTTTGCCACATTTTATGCAGTATTACTTTAGTGCCTTGTTGCAAGCAGGATGCATGTTTTGGAATATTTGTATGTTGTACAGGCTTCCTTCTTTTCACTTTGTCAATTAGGTTAGTATTGTGGAGTAACTACAATGTTGATCCATCCTCGGTTTTCTCCTATCACAGCCATTCAACTCTGTAACAATTTTAAAGTCACCATTGGCCTCATAGTGAAATCCCTGAGTGGTTTCCTTCCTCTCCGGCAACTGAGTTAGGAAGGACGCCTGTATCTTTGTAGTTACTGGGTGTATT